TCACATCCAGAAAATAAGTAGAAACTTACAACATATCTCTTCAAAACACTGCTCAGTTCGTGAAGTTGCATAGGGTGGGTGTGGGTGTGGGTGTCGGTGTCGGTATTGGTGTCTACTCAGAGAAGATTCACACTCCACATGCACACCCACACCCTCACGCCCACTCCGACACCCTACACCCACACTCACACCCTACGCCCACACCCACACCCACACCCACACCCACACCCACACCCACGCACTCCACACCCAAAATGGGCAAAAATATGTTCTTATGAGCCCCGTCCTTTTCTTCAGAGGATCCAGAACTTTTAGTTCACCATTCAGCCTTAAGATCAATTTTGAATGAATCGAGTTTGCATTATTGCAATATTAAAAGACAATGTCATTGAAAATGTTTCTTCGAAATCAAGTAAACCATGCATAGATGTACTTTTGTGGAACCGATTTAATAAGGAAGCTTTCGATGAATTCGAACACTGTGTTCACCGTTACCAAATGTGCCAGACCCAGCGGTGATAGAAAAAATTTTAAAATAAGAACGAGCATCGTCGATATAAATGCCACATAGGGGATGAATAAAACTAAAAATATTAGAATATAAAAAATAAGAAGTGGAATTCTATGGAAAAAAATCCGTTTAAAATTTTCAGGCTTAGTTGCCTTTGAGAGGGCAAAAGTGACGAGCAGGAACAGGATGATAATCAAATCAAAATAAGCGATAAATTTATCAATCCCAGAATGATCTCGTAACAAGTTAAAAATTTGAATGAATTTGTTTGATTTATAAATACATACATTTTGAGCAAGTGCATATGCTACTCCATGATATTGAGAATAGAAGATAGCTCGAAACAGGCTAGCAGAAAATGTACTGCCAAAGAAGGCATCAGCAACGCGCATAAAAACTAACACTGTAATCGTTCGTTCTAAAATGGCCCAAGCATGACTACTGAAATTAATGGACACTTTAAGAACATCGTCTGAAAATTGAGTGTGGTTCTTATTCCAGTCTATGGTGAATTTTTTTAAAAACCAGTCATACTTATTCAAATGAATGAATGTTTCAGGGATATGATCTAAAGAGAGAATTTCGTCAGAGTTTATAACAAACATTTTTAAAAAGCAACCATGAATAATAACAATTGGTATACAATACAAAAATTTTGATTGAGGTAAGCACCAGCACAGTACAAAATAGAACACTAAATTTTTTGTTCTTACTGGACTAGCGACTAAACAGATCATGAATTTCAAGTAATAAAGTTTTGGAAGAAAATATGTGACGGCGAGCCAACATAAATATGAATTCATTGTCAGTGTCAGAATCCGAAAAACTATGCGTAATATTCGATGCTTGAAGATTTTGCACAAGAGGGGCGACTTATATTTGAATTCTTCCGCTTCACACATCACTATTGATATTGTAGGAGATTCTGCATGCCCTACATCATTTTGATTGATTTCTCTTAATTTACGTAGCCAATCAAGCATAATGACTGTGACAGTAAAATAATGGGATATTGATGGACACATATAACGAACTATGATCAAGTAATAATATGGTTCAATCACCACCAAGATTGATGTGAAATAAAAAATAACTTTTAAGATACCGTTCTCATCAGTGTGCTCAATTAGGTAAACTGAACAGATGTAAAGATTCATTATCTTTGTCCATATTTTCACTATCAAGTCGATAGTTTTTAGATTAGAAAGGAAGAAATTTTGCTGTTTGAAAAATAACTGAATCAAATAATCAATCAGAAGGATTATACATAATATAACACAATTCATTGCCGACTTTTGTTCTGCAAGAGATATTTTCCACCAATTTTCGTATGATATATGAAATAGGTAGTGAAAAATCGCGAAAAAAGTAGATACCATTATAATCCATACGAAAAAAATTTTCCAGACATCCAAAAGTCGATTGACAAAGGTTTTCCACCATTGACGGTTGGCAAAGTGGACCTTTTTCACATAAGATATCACTGGTAATAATGTGTAGGACTGACTCTCAACAGCTTTTTGGTACATTTTTCTTGCTGATGCCCAGTCAGTTAAATTTGCAAACAAATCACCAATTTTATTGAACAATTGTCCTTGTGAAACATAGTTATCGGCTCGGAGTTCGATTGCTTTTTGATATATTTGAATGGCATTTTTATAATCCCTCTTTGCCTCATAAACGTAGGCAATATTTTCATATGCTTGCGCCATTGATATGTTTTCATTATTGAGATGTTCTTCTGTAAGACGAAATGCTGCCTCGTAATGTTCAAGAGCAGTTGCATATTCACCTTTGAAAGTGCTTATCTGTCCAAGACCATTATAAGCCTCTATATAATATCTAATTGTTAGTAATGACGGATCTGCTGTAGCATGTTCTTCAAGAAATAATCGATAGTATCGTTCAGCTTTATCAAAGTCTTTCATAACTGACGCTAAATGAGATCCTAAGAGTAATAACATCGGTCTTTGATCTAGTTCAAATTTTAATGCTATGTCTTCCTTTGTCGTGGATACTAATGTCAATGTTACATGCCACACATTATTTTCTGTTGATGGATAAACAGAATTAATACAAAAGACGGTACCTATTGATAGCAGTATTTCATTTTCATGTTTCATATAGCTTTCATGACTAATATTGGCGAACGGTTTTGTGTTAATATTCAAATCAATCACATATTGAAATAATACCGACTCAAATTTTGGACGTTCTGCTCCTGTTCCTGCAAATTTCAGAGCAACATCACGCTCGTATGTTGTTGAAAGAAATGTGTTCGTTGAGTACAGTTGTCCAATATTTTGCTGAATTTCTTGAAATTCAACAGCAGATATACGCTGTCCCCGATAAACAGTGAAAATATCGATTCCAGAATTTCGTAATTCACTGATATAAGAGCTGTGTAACTGATACAATTGCTTCGAAAGATCCGAAAGGAAGCATCGAAATGTGTAAATTTGATCGACGTTTTCTGTTCTGCATGCTTCGTTCACTAAACGAAACAGAAAACTATCTCTTGTATACCATTGTAATGCCTTGTCCGAAGTGTAAGTTATTTCGAATTCGTCAATAATTTTTAGCCCATTTTGGTTATCTTTATAGCGGTAACGACATTCTTCTAACATTTGAAGTTTTTCCCAATCAGTTTGTGACGTGGAAAGTATAATGTCAAAGATCAATTCAAATTGTGCCTTTTCCATATTTCTCAGTGACATCTGTATGTTGTCTGACATAAAAGTTAAGTCTTGCGATGTAAAACATTCAGCAACATTGGATGAAGTGTCGTAAGTTAGCATAGTAATAAAATCTCGTTTATCAATAAAATAGTCAATCTCGCTGATGCTCTTCTTATTGCAATTGTCAACTATATAAATGCATTTTAATATTGGAAGCATGTATATGTATTTATCCCAATGAATACTCCTGAATAGGTAAACTGGACTCGAGGTGAAAATCATAACAATGCTTTTTGTACTGGAAGATAGCGCAGCTATGTAGTTAAGACAGTCGTCGATGTGGAAGAAGTGTTTCAAATTTTCACGTGACGAAGAATATCGATTGCAGTCAACGTTTGTTTTTTGCGAAGCATCATGCAGGCAGATAAAGTCAGTTCCAGCAGATGTACTATAATGTATAATATTCCATAGCGTTTCTGTACTATTAACATATATCAGTTTTTGATGATTTTTCAAAGTGGTTTTCTCCCGTATAAGAATCGGAGAAATGATATTGCTAATTGTTAGCTTCTTTGTATCAAGAATATAGATACGAACAATTTGAAAATTTGTTAAAATACACTGGCGTAAATTCGGATAATGTTGTTCACGTTCAACACCGGATAATATCAAAAAGATTCTTGTGTCATTCTTTATCGATGACAGATAATTATAAAACATTTTTACATCAGTAAATATTTGTGAAGTATGTGTTGATCGTCTTATTTCTTTTAGTTCATCGATATATGTGTTAAAGATAGTGGTATCAAGTTCCAGCCAAATAATAGTACAATTTCTTACAACTGCTTCGTTACAAATGTCACTAGAATTATATGTAGAAGTTACTGATGCACTGTCAAATAAATCAATAACTGTGTCACTCATCGACATTTATTAGTTCAACATGCTAATCTAAAATACAAATTTTTCGTTTGAAGCGAATAGCTTGTGTCAGACACTAGCGTAGTACAAGGTAAAAGGCAACACAGCGCATCTTCTTAGGTTCAATCGGACATAGAGGAAAACAACTCATTTTTTAATATTTTGCATCCTGGTGTTGTAAATAGACATGTGTAGGACTGGATTCGAGACCAACCTCTGAGATTCTACCAGACCGAGAGAGCAGCGTAGCCAGCTGATATGTTTTTGTCGTTCCTCCATAGAATCAAGCGAGATGAACTTTCTCGCTTGCCTCTACGTAAGCAGGACAAAAAGATGGTAGCTTTTTAGGCGAAATTTTCTGTTATTGCTTACACCTATGGGTCAGTTGCAAGCGCATTATATCACTTGAAATTCCAAGTGCAAAATTAGGATAAAATCACATGTCCTAAACCAGTTTTCATAATTTTTTCTTGGCAAGTTAGAAGCGCCCGCACTTGAAAAGTTTTTTTGAAAATTTTTGTTGGTATTTTCTACGTAACACTTTCAAGTTTGAAGATCTTAAGATAATAATTTGTTCGATTTTCTTAGGTACCAGCATAAAAAAATTGAAATCTTCTAGAAAGTCATTTGAACAACTCTTAAATATCCTGAAAATTCCTAGAACCCTTTGAGGCTTTTTTTTCATCTAATAATAATGATTTCACGGCAGCAGATAACCGTATGGTTTCAATTGAGTAAAAAGAAACAGAGATTTATTTTTCGAAATTTTTTATCTTGTTTTATTTCATATCGACGTTTCGAAGAATAAATCTCCGTTGACGAGGAATAAAATGAGCTTGTTAGAAAAGTGAAAAATTTTACATGCCACAAAATAGAAATAAAACGAAGAAAAAGAGAGATTTATAGCGAACAGAAATGAATTATAAACACCACTATAAAATATTCAAAGAGATAACTAATTTCTTTTCGTTATAAATGTCTCTCTTTCTTCTCTTCGTTCTTATTTTGTGGCATATAAAATTTGTCACTTTCCTAACAAGCTCATTTCATTTCTCTATGATGAAGATTTATCTTTCGAAACGTCGATATGAAATAAAACAAAACATCAAATTT